TTATACCCTCTGTTGGGATTTGAATTTGAGCTTGTACTCTGATTGGTTGTCAGACTCCCATGGAGCCATGCAGGGGCAACTCTGTAGACTGTCCCGAGTCCCAGGCTTGGTTGAGCCTTGGTGGATGATGATGTTCCTATTATGGCTCTACCCAGAGTAGATCTTTGTTATGGCCAGAGTAATGGCCCATTAGCAAAGGTGGAGGGTTGGCTGAGTTTCTGCCTCTGAGTTTCTACTTTTCTTTTTAGGGGAAATAATCTGCCTTTTTAGTATATCCTAAGATATTTCATTTTCCTAGGAGAGGGGTGGGTGCTAACTTCCAACAGTTCAAAAAATCAAAATTGCACAATAAAAAAATAAACGCATAGATGTGCCTGTGTATGTTTAAGGAAGTTTAGCCTTCATTAAAGTAGAGATTAGTGACATTTCAAGAAAAGGAAGGGCTCTGGGGTTCATCGTGCCCACTCTTTCCAGAGCTGCTTTCTCCCAGCCCCATAAACATTCCTTATTTTGCTTTCAAGAAAAAGAAAAAAGAAAATATTCTGGTGATGCAAGTCAACCTCTGAAAAATCCCTTCCACATTATTCATTCACTAATGTGCGGAGTCGGAGTTCAAGCCAAAGGTCCTGTGAAGGGAAACAGCCCTTGCTCTAACATCAGTGGGGTTTTGTTTTTTTTTAAATTATTTTGAGTGGCCCAAGGAAATCTTAGGAGCTTTGTGGGATGAATAATGGATCCTTCACGAGGGGCAAAGCTGGAGGCGTCTCCGCTTAGACATTTAGACTGCATTTTTGGGTTTCTATGCAATCGGAAGCGAGGAGAGATGGGAACGGAGGGGGAAAAAAGAGAGAGGGAATCACAGCTACGGACTAGGAAGTCTGTTTCCAGTCACTTGGCCTGTTTCCACTTCCATATTAACCGATACGAATTACGACCGCAATTGGAGCCAGAATTTCCTTTGCTAAAGCGAGGTGGTTATTAAGTAAGTTACACCACAGTTGTTAAGGGAATCGTTGCACTGATTAAGTTGTGAAGTGAATCTTCCCCGTAGAGTTTGCTTGTCAGAAGGTTGCAAAAGGGGGAAATCACACAAGCCACATACACTGCAACGGTCGTAAGTATGAACCAATTGCCAGGTATCTGATTTTGGATCACCTGAATTTGGATGCTGCAAAGGTAACTTTTTTTCAGGGCCGCCATAACTTCAAACAGTCGCTAAATGAACTGTTGTAAAAATTCCAGGGCTACCTGTATTTCGCGTTTCCCTTCCAGGAACATCCAGTGATACAATCCAGAGCAACCCACCTTGCAAATGAGATTTAAAAGAGCTCGGAAATCAGATAACAGATAATTAGAGTTGGAAGGGACCTTGTAGGTCATCTAGTCCAACCCTCTGCCCAAGCAGGAGACCCTACACTCTTTCTGACAAATGGCAGTCCAATTTCTTCTTGAAAGCCTCAAGTGATGATGCTCCCACAGGGCAACTTCTGTTCCATGGGTCGATTGTTCTGTCAGAAAATTTCTCCTTATTTCCAGGTCGAATCTCTCCTTGTTCAGTTTCCATCCATTGTTCCTTGTCTGGCCTTCAGGTGTTTTGGAAAATAGCCTGACCCCTTCCTCCTCTCTGTGGCAGACCCTCAAATATTGGAAGACTGCTATCCTGTCTCCCCTGGTCCTTCTCTTCACTAGACTAGCCAGGCCTTTTCCTGCAACCGTTCTTCATATATTTTAGCCTCCAGTCCTCTAATCATCCTGGTTGCTCTTCTCTGCATTCTTTATAGAGTCTCAACATCTTTTTTATAGTGTGGTGAGCAAAACTGGATGCAGAACTCTAGGTGTGGCCTTACTAAGGCTTTATAGAGTGGTATTAGTACCTCCCTTGATCTTGATTGTATCCCTCTGTTAATGCAATTTAGGATTGCATTAGCTTTTTTGGCTGCTGCTGCACACTGCTGGCTCATATTTATCTGGTTGTCTACTAAGACTCCACAGTTACTGCTACTGAGCCTGGTTTTACCCAGTCCTTTTGGTTTTTCTTGCCTAAGTGTAGGACTTTACTTTTCTCTACACTGAATTTCATTTTAGTAGATAGGGCTCAGTGTTCTAGTCTGTCAAGATCCATCTGGACCTTGAGCCTATCTTCTTGGGTGTTAGCTATTCCTGCCAGCTTAGTGTCATCTGCGTATCTGTCCTGCGTATCTAGAGCGGCCCAGATGTCTAATCCTTATGACTAATAATTTACACTGGAGCTGGCTGGCTTGATCTTATATTGTCTGGGACACCCAAGAATAGATTTTTTATCGCAGGAGGCTTGCAAGCCATGCCCACGGATGCACGAAGGAGGGGACGCACAGCCAAGCTGGAGACAGCAAGTCCCATTCAGGACTGACCTGTCCTTGCCCGCAATCCTAACGGAAATGGTATCTGCAGATCTTGATGTCTGTTTACCGCCCCTTGTGCTTATCCTAGCCTCCTCCTGAAACAGGGGCCCTTTTGTCTGCTTGAATTCCCTTCTGTTGTGGTGGTGGTTAAGGAAGTGTTTATGGGAGAAGGGGGAAGCTGGAGTTTTACACCCGCCTTCCTATTATGCAAGGCCGATTTGCTTCTTTATATATTGTTCTCCGTTAATGCTAATTAGACCTATAAATTACTTCCATCCAAAAGTTCATTAACTAAACAACGGAGGAGGAGGAGAAGGAGGAGAAGGAGAAGGAGGTCTTGCAAGAGACCTGTCCAGAAAGACCTCAGAAACTGTTGACACCTGCCCGAACGTGAAGTAGGGCAGCTCTGTGGTTGTGCACACAACGTTGTGGGTCAGATGTTTCGGATTCTACTTCTGACCCCTGGGTTGATTTCCTGCGTGGCTAGACACATCTCCTCACCTCAGTTTCCTCAACGGTGAAACCATGAATAACCGGATGTGTAGGATACACACGAAGAAGGAAGCGGTTGGTGGGATAAATACTTCATGTTCATAAAGATCTTCAAGAGCGGCTGCGTTAAGAAAAGCAAAACATTGCCCCACTTTTAAAGCTGGACTCTTTCCTGCCATTTCGCAGGAGGAAATCCATCTCCAGATAAAGGAATTTCCCAGGAAAATTTTGTGGATGTGTTTTCCCATTCAAAAATATCCATGCTTCTGTGGATTCTTCCTTGAAAGCATCTTGAGAGACTTAAATTTTGGGCCTCTCAGACTAAAAACAAAGGGGTGCAAATCCTGTTGTGGGTGGGGATCTTTCTTTGTGACTTAGTAATTTAACTTGGCTCAATCAGATATTCTTTGGTGAGAAACTGTTGCTACAATGACAGAGTTCAAATCGTGTGCAATATGCAATGCGCATTCCCGGAGTGGCTAAGAAATCTTATGAAAAACAAAATACAGACATCTGCAGATACAAATTCGGATAGCCTAGTTTGCAGAAATCTTCCCAAATTTTGGCTAACTGCGACTCTACAAATACATGAAGGGTATACTCTAGTGCAATGATCCCCAACCTTTTTTATGCCGCGGCCCGGTACCGGCATCAGCTGGGTGCCGCGGCCCGGTACCGGCATCAGCTGGGCGCCGCCATCTTTTTTTGATGAAAAAGTGCTTCCGGTGAGCTTTCTACCCGGAAAAGCTCACCGGAAGCACTTTTTCATCAAAAAAAGATCGCGGCGCCCAGCAAACCAGCGGCCCGGTAGGACTTGTTCCACGGACCGGTACTGGTCCGTGGACCGGTGGTTGGGGACCCCTGCTCTAGTGTGCCAGATTCTGGAACGATTGCGTCTGATTTATGAAATCTTGAAAGCACAATTCTATCTATAGGATATATATTTCCTGTCCCAACCAACGAGGCTGGAGTACATGTGATGCGGGTCGTGGGTATAGATAGCTACTTTTCCCCGCCCAAGTATTTCTGAAGGAAATGAACACAACTTGCATTGTGTGTTCAACTATTCTTGATCGCAGGGTGAGAACAGAGAAGATACAGTTGAGGTCTCCTCCTTGAGTAATGCCTAGGGCATGGGTGTCCAACCTTTAGGCCTGCTTGGGCCACAACTGAGTGAAGAGGAATTGTTTGGGACCGAATATAAAATATGTAAGAGCAGCGGTGGCACCGTGGTTAGAATGCAATATTGCAGGCTAGCTCACTGCTCACTGCTCCAGTTCAATCTTAATTAGTTCAAGGTTGACTCAGCCTTCCATCCTTCCAAGGTGGGTAAAATGAAGACCCAGATTGTTGGGGGGCAATAGGCTGACTCTGTAAACCACTTAGAGGACTGTAAAGTGGCATTGTGAAGTGGCATATAAGTCTAAGTGATATTGCTATATAATATATAAATGTATATAAATAACACATTTCCTTTATTTTAAAATTTTTGTTATATCTTGCGGGGCTGCATTACTAGCTGTTCAGGGCTGAGGGTTGGACATGCCCGGCCTAGAGGTCAACATGATTTAGAATGGAGTAATTTAAATAATCATTTTGAGCTGCACTTTGGAAGAAAAGAAGCAAATTATTGTGGTTAGCTTCTTGAGGAATCTTTGAAAGAAAGACTGTCTATCCCTGCATGTGTGTGCCTGTAGGTCTTAATCCTATCCCTCACATCACAATGTTGTCCTTCGTGCAAAATATTTGCACCTCCTGCAGTGGTGGGATTCAAAAAATTTTTTTACTACCTGTTCTGTGGACATGGTTTGGTGGGCGTGGCAGGGGAAGGATATTGCCAAATCCCCATTCCCTCCCCACCCCACTAACCTGCTTTCCAGCTTCGTTCTCCTGTGCAGGGCAACCAAAGGAGACCCAGCCGATCAGCTGGGCCTCAATGGGAGGCAGAGAAGAGATGGGGCAGAGCCAGTCAGAGGCGGCATTTGCTGGTTCTCCGAACAATGCAAATTTTCCGCTACCGGTTCTCTAGAACCGGTCAGAACCGTCCGAATGCCACCTCTGCCCTCCTGGATTCTGACATCACAGGAATATTATTTAACGCGAAATTCCAATTTCATCTTCTTTCAGGTTTCGTTCTGGTCATCGGCCTGGTGACTTTCTACCGCATTGGACCCTACACCAGCCTGTCCTGGTCTTGCTACCTGAACATTGGGGCATGTCTCTTAGCCACATTGGCTGCAGCCATCCTTATATGGAACATCCTTCATCGGCGGGAGGACTGCATGGCCCCCAGAGTCATTGTCATCAGCCGCACGCTGACCGCTCGCTTTCGGCGAGGGCTGGAGAACGACTACGCGGAGTCCCCGTGCTGAGAATATGGAGACGGAAAGGAGGGAGACGCAACCACACAGGCAGACTTAAAACAACAACAACAACCAACAAACAACAACCACAACTGACTGCTTTCTTATACATAGGCGATGTAATTTAATACCACAAATTTCACTCCTCCCTTAAGAGGAGTCCGTCATTATGGGTAGTCTTCCACTTACGACCAAAATTGAGCCTCTGTGGTTAAGAGGAGACATTTCTTCAGTGAGCTGTGCCCAGTTTTTAAGGCCGTTGTTACGTTAGTAACTCCGTTATGAAGTGGATCTGGCTTCCACGTCAACTGTGCTAGTCGCAAAAGGGGGGTTCCCCATGACCTTGGGAACAAAGCAGCCTGGGTCATAAAAAGGAACCAGTTGCCGAGCTTTTGAATTTTGATCACGGGATGCAAAGGTCGTAGCGGTGAAAAACGGTTCTAAGTCACAGTTTTCAGTGCTGTTGTTAACTTTGACCAAAAAACAACCCTGTTGTAAGTTGAGGACTACCTGCATTGCTTAGGTGTTCGTCTGTATCTATCTGTCTGTCTGTCTGTCTGTCTGCCTAACTCACTACATTATACAATGCTTTTCTTGATCCCAATGTACAGCCTAAGATATCAACAGCTCAACCATCTGGATGGGTTTTTAGCCAAAAGGAAAAGGAGTGGGGCAGAGCTAGACTCTGATGGATTTTGGGGAGAATCTGGCAATGGGAAAAAGCAACTCTTTCTTTCAAGTCTAAGCTGTTTACATGAAAAAGTTACCAACAGATGCAAAGGCTCAGTTACAGAAATGGAACCAGCCGTAAGAGCAGTCTGAAAGAAGAAATGAGAGCTGTTCTCTCTTTTCGCCCATTTGGTGCAACCCAGAGGGTTTTTTTAAAAAAAAATATTTAATTTAAAGAGAATTAATTATGCAAACTGATTATTTAGCGTATGGCTCACCATACACAGAGTAGCGATTTATATATATATATATATATATATATGTGTGCAAAATTTGAGAGGCATCGAATCTGGCCAGAACAACTATTCTCGTTTTGTTGCCAATGTTCCAAAATCAAAGCCAACTGGGGATAATTGTACTGTTTGGAAGGCTTGGCAGAAATGCTTTTAACAGGGCATGAAATATTTAAGATTTCAGGCTTATTTGTCTTTTAAAGCCAATTTTGTAGAAACATTTCCATGCCACTTAACTCTTGATAAAGAGGCTCATTCTAAAGCTGCCATTCTTCATCATATCTGCGTTACCCACATTAAGGAGAGTTGGCTTTTTTTCTCTTTCCATCATCCTTAGCAATTATTTAAATCAAGAATAGATGGCTGGGCTTTTTTTTTTTCTTCTCCAAATTTGGCGCTAAATTGTAACTTTTATTTTTGCTCGAGTGCTTGAGCACTCAACTGTCATAAATATGAGCCAGTGGCCAAGCATCTGAATTTGGATCACGTGAGCATGGAGAGGCTGCAAACTGTTGTTAAATCGAGGACTACCTGTGCTGAAATCTAAAATCACACCAGTGCAGCTTCGGAAGGTGCTTCAATGAGGTGGGAAGACCAGCTGACTAAAATTACGGGAGGCAAGAATTTATTCCTTATTTATCGAAGGTGGGGGGGAAATCCATCAGAAATGGCTGTCAGATGAATAGATCCCTGATACACACAAGAATATTTGACTTTGATAGAACGTTTAGCAAAACATTGAACTAGTGAAGAGTGATACTATGGAGGTAATGACGGAGAGAGAGAAAAAACGGATTGGATGATGAGGCTGTTGACCTAAATATTTAATGTCTCTTTCTTAGAGACTTTTGTAATATAACTGCTTCAAAACTTCGCTTTAGCTTTCCGCTTTCCATCCTTTTTACTTCTTCAAGACGACCCAAATTATTGGGGGCAATATGCTAACTCTGTAAACCACTTAGAGAGGGCTGTAAAGCTCCGTAAAGCGGTATATACGTCCGAGTGCTATTGCTATTCATTCAGAAAGGGAATAATGAAGCTTGCCCTTTGAGCTTCGTAGTATGACTTAATAGGACACCAAATAAAAGACATAAACAAGTATGTCACTCAGTACCTAAGCCTTAATAAGCAACCTGACCTAAAGCGGAACAAACAGGAAAGTTTGAGGAATAATTCTCGAGGAATTATTTCTATTCTGGATATAACAACTGATTTCTTTAAAACAATTGTGGGTAGCATTTTTCCTCCTTAGGTTACCCAACTGTTTAGAGGACCAAAAACCTGCTTTTAGAGAAAAAGTAATATAAGAATATGTGCAACATTTACAAACTACTTTGGCATCTTTAGCACTATGTGTTATAGAATATATCTAGACAATAGATGTGGACAATTACGATTGAAAATAGTAAAACAGCTACCAATATAATCCTTTGGGCACCTTAATGTTGTTATAAATTCCTTTACCTACAGTATATTTCTACCTCCCAGTAAGTTCTGTCCTATTAAACATGCCAACTAGGGTGAGAAAATTCACGTTGTTAGTAGACTTACGTTCCAGAGTTTACCTCCCACTTCGAAGTATGCTTTGAGTCTTTTTTTAGATTTAGAAAGCTGTCTTGCTGGGATTAAACAGACTGATTCTTTAATCACAAATTGGATTTCATTTCAACTTACCTGCCTGCTTTCTAGGAAAATTCTATAGCATAAAAATGTGCTCTAATTAACTGCCATTTACCAAAAGATTTTAAATACTAGAATATTTAAGATGTATTATTTCTGCTAATATTGCAATAACCATCATTATAATGTGAAATTAAAAACGAATGGTTCTCCCCTGATTCCACCATTAGAGTTGAATTTGTGGTGTTTGTTTTAGACATAGAAATAAAATTGAAACAGTAGATTTGCCTTTAAAGGAAAAAAAGGAAAGAGCTAAGGAGGTTTTATATTTATATATTTTGGGGGCTGCCCCAGAAAAACCTGTCTGGCCCTTACTCCAGGAAACTCACGAGAGGGGAGGAGTTAATAGACTATCTTTTAGAAGTTAGTTACATGGCTTTTCAGTGTAAATGAAAATCGGTACATTAAGCACGTGAATTTCAAGCTATAAGAAGCTTGATGGTCAATCAAAGGCTTGGATCAAGTTATTTTCCAAAACACCTGAAGGCAGAATAAGATGCAAAGGATGGAAACTAATCAAGGAGAGAAGCAACCTAGAACTAAGGAGAAATTTCCTGAAAGGGAAAACAATAAGTAGAGTGATTTGCCTCCAGAAGGGGTTGGACTAGAAGATCTCCAAAGTCCCTTCCAATTCTGTTATTCTGTCCCATATTGTCATTTTAAAAATGCTGGTATCTTTGGCTGAATATTATCGGACAACTTAGCTGTTCATATAATAAACAGCCCAATAATTAGCTTTCGTTAGTCAAATCTCCTGCATCAAGTCTATTTGCAATGTGCCATCCTAGAATAGCTTTGCTGTGGGTGGAGAATAACAGAAATGTACAAGTCTTTTTATCTAGGCAAAGAGGATCAAAACATTCTTTAAGATCTGCAAAACATATTCCGAAGCAACCCAGGCAAACATCTCCTTGATTCACTGGTATGTGGAAAAGAAGGGAGGGAAAGCACAAATGGACTCGCCAAATTCTATTATTATATCGGCTCTCAGTATAGATAGACTTCCTGTGGAGTTGATTGTTTTGTCTGGTTTACCTAATGGAACTAAAACTATGCGATAAAATGTGGGTTTCAGAGTAAGCGAAACACGAAAAGGCAGACAAACAATGCTGTAAAAGGCAAAATAAATGCAGCTTTCATAGCCAACGCCAGTAACACCACCTTTCTAAGATCAATTAACGCCACTGCTCTGACGTCAACTGATCTCTTTCTCTCCCAGTAATCAAGGGAATCACACCAGAGAAAAAGAGAACTAAAGGGAAACCCAAAAACCATCCTACCTTTTGATGAGTTTGATAGCCTTGAAGGCCTCATCCATGTCTCCAGTGGTTAGGTAGAAACTGAAGTTAAGCATTGCTTCGCAGGTTGTCTTGTCACATTCTTCCAGCCCGATGAAATCTCTCATCGGTCTTCTAGCCACCATCTGATGCAGCGGGATGCTGCCAGGTTCTACCTCATCCTTTTGCTCAGCTTCCATCTGAAAAGAAAGTACTAATTACACATGGCAAGCAAAGTATTTGTGGTGTGTGTGTGTGAGAGAGGGGGAGAGAGGGGGGGAGAGAAAGAGAGAGAGAAAGAGGGAGAGGGAAAGAGACCGAGAGAGCGATGTTGGAAGGAAGGAAGGGGAGGAAGTTATGAAGAATGGTTGCTGGAACTGGGTAGGTCTAGTCTGAGGAAAAGAAGAACTAGGGGTGACATGATAGCAGTGTTCCAATATCTCAGGTGCTGTTACAAAGAAGAGGGAGTCAAGCTATTTTCCAAAGCCCCTGAGGGCCAGAAAAGGAATAATGGATGGAGATTGATCAAGGAGAGAAGCAACCTAGAACTAAGGAGACATTTCCTGACAGTTGGAACAATTATTCAGTGGAACAACTTGCCTCCAGAAATTGTAAATGCTCCAACATTGGAAGTTTTTAAAAAGTTATTGGATAACCATTTGTCTGAAATGGTTTAGTCTCCTGCTTGAGCAGGGGCTCCTAGAAGATTTCCAAAGTCCTTTCCAACTCTGTTATTCTGTTATATGATAGCAACAACCTGTTCTTGATCAATAAATAATATTTATAGCTCAAGACTGGTATTTTCGAAAGAAGCAGCAACTCGATATTCAAACCATTTTCACAATTTAACTTCTCTCCATCACCAAAATATTGTATTTATCAGCAAGGGAGGCTAAGTTTTTCCTTCCAAATAATTTACTTTTCAAATGGAAGATTTTTTTTTTTCTTTTCTTCTTCAGGTCATTGAGCATAGAACAGCAGAAACCAACTTTTTTCCTGCCTAACTTTGTGGGACAGGAGTTTGTCTTCCTTTCAATAAAGCAACTTCTTGGGTCTTAATGTCTGACTGCTGAACATTTTGAACAGGTCATTTATGGCTTTAAGACACATCCTGCTGTTCTAAGTGCTTAAGCAGAAGGGTGAGGATTGGGTGGGCCTCGCCTAGAATAATGCCCCAGACAGCATGATACTTAGAAGAAAGAACAGGCTCCAGTGAATGGAATAAACTACTAAGTCATCCCATTATATTATTTTATTATGTGATAAGGATGAGCTAATGGTACTCAAAGGGCAGTGCAGTAAGATAACATGTGGGGCTATGGCTTAACCAATTTATAATCATCTTTAAGACTAAGGGAAGCAAATATCAACAGCATCATTGTATTCTTGTGACATAATGTGTGTGTGAGAGAGAGGGAGGGAGGAAGGGAGGAGGAGAGAGAGAGAGAGAGAGATCTTATTGGCAGGATTTCAGAAGTAGTTCGCCATTGCCTGCTTCCTAGGGCTGAGAGGGAAGGGCTGGCTTAAGATTGCCCAGCTGTCTTTGTGCCTAATGCAGGACTAGAACTCACAATCTCCCAGTTTCTAGTCAGGTGCCTTTACTAAGAACCAAATTTGGCTCTAGCTGATACTTGTTACTGATTGTCATACCTTCCCTATGAACATCTGAGATCCTTGATGGTCACAGACACTAAGAAGAAGATGGCTGGTGTCATTCTCAGGACCTAACGCACAACAGCAACGTGGGTACATGTTCACACACTATCCATGTGAGAACTGGAATCCGCCCTTCTCTTCGTTTTCAAGATACGCTAAACTAGAAGGCATTTCCCTAAAACCCCGCATTGTGACTAGTTTCACTAAGAATGAAATGAAGATTTGGAGGAACGTTTTTCCCCGGATGATGACCCAAGTTTTATTTTTTAGAAAATAGCAAAGGATAGAACGTGGACAATGAAGTGGAAAAACCTGGCGTGACAAAACTAATGGATAAAGAAAAAAATAGCATTACAAATGACTTACATGAGGTTTATAGACAGAATTTCTCCAAAACAACAACTATTGGTTAGCAGAAATAAAAGAAAGAAAGAAAGAAAGAAACAAGAGTGAGAGGAACAGCAAAAAATATATGTTAAAATGTATATTTTAAAAAAAAGAAACAGCAACAGAACAAACACAGAGTGAAATTCACAAACCAAACTTTGTTTTTACAACGGGGCAAACCAGAACTACCCTGGTCATTTTTTGTTATTGTTGTTTAAAGGATCTCACCTACCATCGCCCCACTACCACTTGCTTTAGCTCGCAGGGTACCCTATAAATTATCCCTGAAAGAATGCAACCCCAGCCAAAAAAAAGGGCTACTCATCCTTAAATTATGGCCTGGGAAGTGATTTTTTTTTTTTACGCTATTGTCCTTTTAGAAAATGTGTCACGAACTTCTTGTCAGGCATCAAGAAACAGGACCATATGTTAAGCTCCAGTTAAACTGATTTATTGCTCAAGTCTATGTCAAAGAATCTAGTCAACTAACAGGCAGCACTAAATTGTTATTAGTCAACGGAATTCAAGAGGGGCTGCACTTGGAACATTTGTGGAAACGTAATGATTATAGGCCAAGTCCTCTCTTGACTCCACCCCCAATCTCTGCCTCTTCTTCTTCTACAAATCTATATTTAAATGGTGCACATTTATAATATAACTTATGAAGCATTCGTGCCTGAACTGATTTGTGGTCTTCCCATCCCACTCATGTGGCTTTTTACTATTACTACAAGTACAAACAGTAATGGCAACGTCTCCTCTCACTGTTTCCCCTTTGTGCCTAAAGCACTTGAAGTGATGATGACGATAGTTCAGTTTCTTCTCCTCTGTGAAGGACGATGACAATGACAACAACAAAAATCCCCTAGGGGGAATATCTCCTGGGGAGGATGTTTCTCCTTTAGGAAGGTGAAAACTCTGTCAACTCACCTTTTTGGCAAAGTAATAGTGTGGCACCTCCATGCCCAGAAGAGACTGGTAAGTTGATGGCAACTGAAAACTGTCTTGGAGCAGAAGACCATGCTCTTCAGTGCTGAAGAAAGATACTATCAGCACATCCACCTGGAAGGGGAAATGGAGCATGATTTGGGCTTCATAGTACAACATCCTTTGGTAGGTTTGTTTTTATTTTCCATTTTAATTTGGCAGAGGTTGCAGTTAAGAAGCTGAAGGCACCTCTGCCACAGATGGCTGAGCTAAGAGTTTCTTCTCCTCTGGTAGACCATAATGTGCAATGTTTTACAATGCAAAACTGGGCAGCTCTGCCATTTAGGAATCCCATGCTTTGCAATTCAACAAAGAGACTCTTGGAAAAATTAAATCTGAATTTCATCCACAGCTAGTCCTTGACTTACAACCATTCGTTTAGTGACTGTTCAAATATACAACAGAAGCATTTACAGGCAGATACTGTCACCTAAAGATGAGAGAATGCATTTCATTCCAGCACGGAGGAATTATTCCTTTGGCTGAGCCTGAAGTTCAAGAATAACAGGAGGAACTCAGGCCAATGTATAATATGTGACACATAAAAAAGTTCCTATGTCATATTATACTCCCCAGAATCTAATTTTAAATGATTGGACATTAGCTTTTTTTTTTTTCTCGATGAAGAATGACCTAAACCAGGGATCTACAGCCTTGGCAACTTTAAGCCTGGAGAGAACTTCAACTCCCAGAATTCCCCAGCAGAGCAGAGCAGAGCAGAGCAGAGCAGAGCAGAGCAGAGCAGAGCAAAGCAAAAGAATTCTGGGAGTTGAAGTCCTCCAGGCTCAAAGTTGCCACGGTTGGAGACCCCTGACCTAAACGATCTTGAATATTGATCATTTTACGATAATGCATTGAAGACTCTCACTGAAGAGCAGCCGAGTACAATGTCACAATGCCATCTCAACAATCAAAATCTCAAAGGAAGAGAAACGATGAACGTACCAAGTTTTCCAAGGATTCTTGCTTCTTATCCAGTGATTGTTGATTAGGGTCCAGAACGGCTTCACATACGAACAGCCTTGGTTCGTTCTGATCCCAGAAGTGACTTGCAGGGATTCGGTTACACAATACTGGATATACAGAGGTGTTTTTCCTAGGCAGACCACACAATCAAGATGGGTAAATCTAACTAGTAACCTTTAAAGGCAAAGGTTCCGCTAGTTGTTTCCGGCTCTAGGGGGCACCGGTGCTCATCTCCGTTACAAAGCCGAAGAAGAGCCAGCGCTGTCCGAAGACGTCTCCGTGGTCATGTGGCCAGCATGACTCAATACCGAAGGCGCACAGAACGCTGTGACCTTCTCACCAAAGGGGTCCCTATTTTTCTACTTGCACTTTTACATGCTTTCGAACTGCTAGGTTGGCAGAAACTGGGACAAGTGACGGGAGCTCACTCCGTTACACAGCGCTAGGGATTCGAACTGCCAAACTGCCAACCTTTCCGATCAACAAGCTCAGCATCTTAGCCACTGAGCCACTGTGTCCCCCTAGCAATATATATTAGCAATATATATTACCTACTAATCCAAGTAGTCCTTGACTTACAACAGTTCATTCGGTGACTGAAATTACAATGGCACTGGAAAAAGTGACTTTATGACCATTTTTCATATTATGACTGTTGTAGGTCACATGATCCAAACTCAGATGCTTGGCAACTAATATTGATGACGGCTGCAATCCCCCAGAGTCATGTGATCTCCTTTTGCAACCTTCTGACAAGCAAAGTCAATGGGGAAGGCAGAAGCAGCTTTAGTACAGAACAGTTGAGCTAAGCCACGCCCAGGCTCCTTGCTGTCTCCTTCTTGCTCACACAGCCCTCAATTCTCTCTCACACTGATAGGAGGCTAGATGAATACCGATGGATGCTGGTAGGCAGAGGCAGAATTTCCACCACCCCCTTATTTTCCTCCCCAAAAACTAAGCCCGACCACATAGTTTCGTAGCGAAACACGGGTCTTGAGCTAGTAAGCAAATAAATATCCAGCATTTGGCCCTGGAGGCATAAAAGGGCTCTGTCTGAATTCAACCAAAGAGAGTAATGTACAGTGGAGCTTTCCATGGTCCTGCAGCGACCAGCTGGCCTCCTGCTGCCTTGCCCCATTGTGTGCACTTTGGCTTGCAAACATCAGAACAATTGTACAAATGTTTCAAAGCCAATAACGTCGAATAAAACAAGAGAACCATTCCTGAAATTTATCTTCCACTAGAAGAGGAAAAAAAGATAGACTCTCCTTTCCTCCATTCCCCAAAAGAATAGGCCAATAAAAGGAGCCACCTTCTGAGATCACAAAAGGAATAATAATAAAATAATCAACATGACATAAAAGTTCCTCTGGGTTCATGTCTGGCACGCACCCACAACGCAGCAGGAAAGTATTCTACTAGGCATATATTCCATTAAAAAAAACCAAAAAAAAACTATTCCAAGATGTTCATGCTTTCTTTTGAGCATTTGGTATAGAGCTTTTAATTTCACAGTGACCCCTGCTGGATCTTTCATTTTCCATTAAGAAATTACTTTTTGTTTTTTTAAAGGGTGCTCGGAATAGTTTGCAAAGCCATTTTAAGGATGCAGTCATTCTCTAAATGACAAAGCAAGAAAGGGAAAAGCTAGAATTGTCGCAGGGTAAATTTAATGTTTGTGTGAATAACTCTAAAACTAATGCAGATAAAATGAAAGCCATGACGAACAGGCTGATTCACTCAACCATCCTACATGACAGCAGCGTATTTATCCCGCTGAGACACAAAAGTTCTTTTTAGTATAAGCCCATGTTTCTCAACTTTGGTCATTTTAAAAGGTATGGACCTCAACTCCCAGAATCCCCCAGCATGCTGGAAGAAAAATGCTGAAAAAAATGTAACTGCTAGAAACCAGTTTGTCATGCCCCTGTTGGAATCTGATTCCGAGGGGGAGATTGAGCAGCTAACAGGGAGTGGGAGTGTGGCTCCGGTGGTTGTGGAAGAAACTGGGGAAGGGCACAGTCCGGCTGGGCCTTCAGAGGAAGACCCAGGGCTGCCCCCTCTTCATCCTAGGGTACACAGGGAGGAACAGAGAAGGGAGTAACATGGGCTACGGGGGAGGAAAAGGCCCTGATTCTCTTCATTAGCTGCAGCTGGGAAAACAGGATTTAAAAAGGGCGTTTGCGCACAGCTCCTTGCTGGAAGCAAAACATGAATTATTTTGGTTTGTCAAGTCTCATCTAGGTTCTGGCATCCTCCCAACTGTGTGTGTTTCGTTATCTTTTGAAGTCTGCGATTCCTTACCCTGCCCTGTCTCGTTAATTGCTGCAGCGTGGATTGTGTTGGTTTTTATTTGTAATTTGTATGTACTTTGGGTTCGGCCTGAATTTCTTTCCTTTAAAAACTGTTCTTGGCAGAGTTTTTTTTCTCCAGCTGATGATAACTGGACATTGAGGGCCAAGTTGGAGGAATGAAAGGGACTTCATCTACTTTTGTGCCTTTGTTCTTGTGTCATCGCAATATCTAAACAAACAATTGTAAGTCGAGGACTATTAGATTCTGCAGTATAAAAGAAATGTGCTGAATGCATGCATCAAATATATGCCATCTGTAAACCAAGCATCTATTGGTCTGTGTTCAATCAGAACTTTGTAACACTTATATATATGCAAGAGAGTAAAGATGTGAAAAGAATAAGACATGCTTTTTTTTAAAAAAACTCATCTATATTCCACAGTACCTAACTCAAAAAGAAATGAAACCTTACACTTCAGTCTCCTGTCCGAAGGGGAGCATTTCCTTAGCGTCTCTTTGTCGACCTGACTCAAAATCAAACAGGGTGACCGTGTCCATTTCAATGTCGTAGAAACAAATCCTGGGGTCGAAACTGCCATCAGCCTATATAACAATTTTAAAAAGAGAGATGATTGACTCACTATAGGAATGGTAGCGGTAAGTGGCATTCAGCCGGTTCTGACCAGTTCTGGGGAACCAGTAGTGGAAATTTCGAGTAGTTCGGAGAACCGGCAAATCCCACCTCTGACTGGCCCCACCAGCCCCATCTATTCTCTGCCTCCCATTGAGTCCCAGCTGATTGGCTGAGTCTGCTTTTGTTGTCCTGAACAGGAGAACGGAGCTGGAAAGCAGGTTAGCAGGGTGTGGGGGGGGGAATGGGGATTTTACAGTATCCTTCCCCTGCCAGGCCCAGTAAGCCACGCCCACTAAGCCACACCACGCCCACCAAGCCACACCCACAGAACCGGTAGTTAAAATTTTTGAATCCCACCACTGCATGAAGCCAGTCATTTCTTGAATTCCAGCAACTCACGAATGCCTTAAAGGAAGAGCCTCCCCTTCAAAACTCTCCAATCAGGTCGCCCCTAAATCTTTAAAAAGATTATTTTTTTTTTAACGGGAAAAGTCAAACCTGCTTGAACTGTACACTGAGCTGGATCTGCCTTGCCAGTTCCTCGAATGCAGATAAAGAGAGGCAGGGAGGAAATAACGCGAGCACAGGACTTGGCTACATGATGCCAACTTTTCACTTAAACCAGTGTTTCTCAGCCTTGACTGCTTCAAGACGAGTGGACTTCAATTCCCAGAATTCTCTGGTTAGCTGGGGAATTCTGGGAATTCAAGGCTACCCATCTTCAAATGTCTGGGGTTGGGAAAACCTGACTTAATTAAACCTAACTGGGCCTAGTGGTTCGATGTTCCAGGATAACAGAATATGAGAGTCGGAAGGGACCTTGGAGGTCCTCTAGTCGAGCCCCCTGCTCAAGCAGGAAACTCTGTACAATTTCAGATAAGTGGTTGTCCAATGTCCTCTTAAACACCTCCAGGGTTGAAGTATTCACAACTTCAGGAGGCAAGTTGGTGAATTGTTCTCAAACTCAGAAAAATTCTCCTTAGTTCTAGGTTGCTTCTCTCCTTCATTAGTTTCCATCCATTGCTTCTTGTCCTGTCTTCAGGTGCTTTTGAAAATAGGTTGTTCCTCTCTTCTTCCTGAAATATTGGGGCTCAGTGGCCCGGTGGTTAGAGTGCAGTACTGCAGGCTACTTCTGTTGACTGCCAGCTGAGTGCAATTTGGCAGTTCAAATCTCACCAGGCTCAAGGTTGACTCAGCCTTCCCGCCTTCCCAGGTGGGTAAAATGAGGACCCAGATTGTTGGGGGCAAGAGGCTGACTCTGTAAAGCATTTAGAGGGGGCTGGGAAGCACTGTGAAGCAGTATGTAAGTCTAAGTTCTACTGCTATCTTCCTTCCTTCCTTCCTTCCTTCCTTCCTACCTACCTACCTACCTACCTACCTACCTACCTACCTACCATGGTGCACAGCGGTTAGAATTGGGTTTTCAGGTGAAAGGTGGGGTTGTTCACACCTCACCTTGCTCAGGAGAATGCTGACTCTGTTGCCGCTTGTGTTGCACTTCACGGATGCAATCCCCAGAGCGCCGGGCATCAAATCCACCAAGGCCTTGCTATTGCAATGTACCTTTGCCTCTCTGTGGGAAGACGAGACGGAACAGGTCACGTAAACCTGTCCTGGGTTTTGTTTCCCTGAGAAACTGATCATCAAAGATGGCATTCCAATTGGAAAGAAAGAAAGAAAGAAAGAAAGAAAGAAAGAAAGAAAGAAAGAAAGAAAGAAAGAAAGAAAGAAAGAAAGAAAGAAAGAAAGAGGGAGGGAGGAAGAAAGGAGGAGGAAGGAGGGAGGGAGGAAGGAAAGAAAGGAACGAGGGAGGGAGAAAGGAAGGAAGGAAGAAAGGAGGAGGAAGGAAAGGAAGGAACGAGGGAGGAAGGAAGGAA